TTTAAAGCTACAGAAGTTTACTGTTAAGATGTTATGCATCTAAGCAGAGAAAATAAAATATTTCTATAGTTAAGGGTTTGTTTCCAGGGATTGTGCCCCGGAAACAAGTATAAGACTGGTGTTAAATGCTCCGTTATCAAGACAAACGCCCAGAGATCTTTACAAAATAGGATGTTTCATCTTACTGTTTACAATCCTAGCAGCTGTCTGTTAGAGAAAATGGTTTGATCATAGAAGGAATTTGCTGAGAACAAGGAACACTCTAACTCTTTATCCCAGTGGTAAAGTAATATTAACTAAAAACTCGAGTGAAAAAACCTTCATAATCAATTTTCTTCTTACTCAATGTTCGAAATAACACAAGAAAGAATTAAACCTAAAACAAAATACCTAATCAACTCTGATGTTATTACATAACGAGATAAGTGGTGGGATAAAATAAACAGTCGTAATACAATGAAATAAGTGGTGGGATAAAACGAACAGTCATTATACAATGAAATAAGTGGTGGGATAAAACAAACAGTTATTATACAATGAAATAAGTGGTGGGATAAAACGAACAGTCATTATACAATGAAATAAGTGGTGGGATAAAACAAACAGTCATTATACAATGAAATAAGTGGTGGGATAAAACAAACAGTCGTAATACAATGAAATAAGTGGTGTGATAAAACAAACAGTCATTATACAATGAAATAAGTGGTGGGATAAAACAAACAGTCATTATACAATGAAATAAGTGGTGGGATAAAACAAACAGTTATTATACAATGAAATAAGTGGTGGGATAAAACAAACAGCCGTAATACAATGAAATAAGTGGTGGGATAAAACAAACAGTCGTAATACAATGAAATAAGTGGTGGGATAAAACAAACAGTCGTAATACAATGAAATAAGTGGTGGGATAAAACAAACAGTCGTAATACAATGAAATAAGTGGTGGGATAAAATAAACAGTCGTAATACAATGAAATAAGTGGTGGGATAAAACAAACAGCCGTAATACAATGAAATAGGTGGTGGGATATACAGTGAGAACAGTAATTATCGTTTTAGATAAATCAATACTAATATCCTCAGAAATACTAGTTATTTGATGTGCTCGTGCAAACATCGTTAGTTTGTTTGGCGAGGTAAGATTATTTTACCAGACGTACATTTATATTTCTTGAAACATCAAAAGCTTTTCTGTCATGTTTCTTTGGAAAAAGACAGATTTACATTTTATTTTTGAAAGACTGTGGCGCGTTTTCCTCCGTTTTTTTTTTTCTCAATTTAGATACAAAACTGTATATTAATTCCCACGAAACGGAAAACGCATTTGTAGAAATGTTAGAAGAACAAGAACAAAAAGTAAATTTTAGTAAAAGTATATATATAGCTTTTCTTATTCTCAGTTTTACTTAAAATTCAATAAAATTCATCACGAATATTTGAATTAGAAATTACACGTGGCAATTTATACTTTTCAAACAAATAATGCAAAAAAAAAAAAAACAACAACGAAAGTTTGTTTCTTTGTTTTGAATTTTGCGCAAAACCACACGAGGGCTATTTGCGCATGCCGTCCCTAATTTAACAGTGATAGACTAGAAGGAAGGCAGCTAGCCAACACCACCCACCGCCACCTCTTGGACTACTCTTTTTACCAACGAATAGTGGGATTGACAGTCACGTTATAACGCTCCCGCGGCTAAAAGGGCGAGCATGTTCGGTGTGACGGGAATTCGAACCCGTGATCTTCAGATTGCGACTCGAGTGCTCTAGCCACCAAGCCATGCTAG